TTGCCTGTCCCTCTGGAGGGAGAGCCCTTGCCCCGTGTACAGAGACTGGTCTCGGTCCTAGCCAGAGTAACTCATTTATCTGTCCTTTACCTGAGACTTCCATAACGCAAAAGGACGGAGTTTTATCAGGCTGCCGGGATCCCTGGCAGAAACCTGGATGCACAAACTCTCCCAGAGTCTGGCTTTATGTGTACCATTCTTTATGACTGCCTGTAGTCACTTCTGCTGTTTGCCCACACGGTGGCGCGCAAGGCCTAGGTTTGCATCCTCCCGGTTCTGGTCGTGTCCCAAACTCGGAGCTTGGCGGTCCATGCGGGTATGATGGCGATTTTCCGGGAGTGCAGCCTTCTACAGGCATCCAAGGTTCTGTAAGTCATCTCTAATTAACTCTCTTACTCATCAACCCGCGCTTGTGTTTGAGTCCTTTGAGCTGAAAGGGTCACTCACCCCTGTTTGGAAACAGGCATTCCTTTCCCATCTTCCTGGTACATCACAGGGCATCCTAAAACTGTCCCAAACCCCTCCGGCTCGTTTAGATCTTTGCTCACCTCCTCCTGTTCTCCCTCCTCCTACTTCTCTCCCTCCTCCTCCTGCTCCTTCCTCCTCCTCCTCCTGGCTCCTCCTCCTCCTCACAGTCCTGGCTGTCCTCTATAGACTCAGAGAGATCCCTCTGCCTCCCGAGTGCTGGGATTAAAGGCTTGCACCACCACATCCGGCCCCCTCCCATAGTTTTAATGCCCTGTCTAGTGTGTTCCTCAATCTCTCTTCTTGCTTTGTCTCCACACATAGAGCATAATCTACATTATCTTGCTTCTCAGCCCTTCCTGGTGCTAGAGCACAAGTTGAGTTTGATCCCCAAGACCCACGGGTAGAAAGAGAGAGAGCCACCTCACACAAGAGGTCCCCTGACCTCCTCACACGCACTGTGTAGTATTTGGACACCAATAAATAGAAGTAAAACAGTGAGGAGGGGCCTGGAAGGGTGCTCAGTGGTTAAGAGACTGG